TTCAGAAGCCGCTGTCGCCTCCGCCTTCGCCTCCTCCAACTTCTTGCTGAGGGTGCTCGCCTCCGTCTTCAACAGACGGAGCTCGGTCCGCTCTACCCTTACAAGTTTCTGGAGCTCCTTATTCGAAGTTTCGGAGGCCTGGAGCTCCGACTTGAGGTGAGCAACCTCCGCCTCCGAATCCGCCGCTCGCTTCTCAACGGGCGCCACGACTTCCGGGCCCGCCCCGGCACAGACCTCCTCCACCTGGCAACGCTGTTCGGCATTGCGGCCGATTAGGCCCCCGATGATCCGGCCAGCGTCATGCACCCGATCCATCAGGGCCGTCGCGTAGTGAAGGCCTTGCAACGAGGAGGACAGGTTAGGAGAAACACCGTCGGATGTATAGCTAGAAATAGCAGGCGCAATACTTACCAATGTCAGGGACTTGGCCGACTTGCCATGCAAAGCCTCCGAGGGCAGGGTATATATGTCCCGAGCCATGTCGGGATGAAGCGTACCCCGGAGGAAGGCCGCGGAGGAATCCCCTCCAGCCCACACCTTGTCCCCCCGGGACATGCCCCCCCAACGAGCGACCAGGGGGTCACTTGCCTCCCCCGTCAGGATCTCGCCCACCAACCGCGATAGAAACGGCTCGTCGTCGCCCGTAGGTAGTCGGCACAGATCGCGCACGGAGGGAGGGCGCGAGTCCTTCCCTGTCGCCTCCCGACTGGGTCCCGTCGCGCCTCGATTAGGACCCGCCTCAGCTCCCGTAGAGACAGAGAGCTTGGCCTTCTTCCGAGGACGCCCGACCTCGACCTCCAACGGGGCGTCTTTCGAGCCGGGCTTCGGGTCGGTTGATGGGCGTGGAGAAGAAGCGGGCGACGCTCGACCTCCCAGAAGGGATCGAAGATTCACCATTTCAAAAAGTAGGTCAAAAGTTAGAACTAGGGGCGAGCCACGGAATACCCGGACCGGGCGCTATTAACATACCCCAAGGCGTCGGACTAAGACCAGCCTCGGCTAGCCACCGCTCGGTCATATTCCGGATGGCCTGGGAGCTGGGGAGAACCTCCCCGAGCCTCCCCAGATCCCGGGGTTCTTCGTCGCTCAGGCTCGGGCCGGTGTTATCAATCACCCTCGCGGACCATCGGACTACAAAACCCCAATCCCTTGCACAACTAACATAGAAAAACCTCCCCTTCCATCCTTTGTTGCTGGAAGGGGCCCCCCCGACTCGAAAGCCCGCTCGGGCAGACAGGAAGTAACCCCCCAGCCCTTTGGAAAGACAGTAGCAGGACATAAACAGATTGAGTGTGGGGGTGATGTTGGCGTAGTGGCATTCCCCTAGGAACACCACTAGGTAGCGCAAAGAGTTTGGCGCCACCTGGGATGGCGAGATCCGCCAGAGAGAGATACAGGAGACAATGAGGGGGTGAAGGGGAAAGCGCAGACCCGCCTCCAGGGCGTCTAGGGTTAACGCAAAACCCTTCGGAACCGGGTCGTAGGCCCGTTGTCCCGGTTCAGGGGCGCTGAGGATATAGTCCTCCGGGATACTATAACGTTCCCGGAGTCCCCTCAGCGATGACCCGCTCACGGTGGAGTCCAGGTCGTGCGGCCACATCAAGGTCTCAAGGGCCCGCGCCGCTTCCCCATCGGAGGATTGAATGGGGGACGGTGGGGGGCATCTCTCCCTAGCTCCATGGGAAGAAGAAGAAGGGGAAGAAGAGGAGGTCATCCTCACTGACCTTAACGGGAAACAGGTAGGGGCTACTTGGGGAAGTGAGGCGACGCTGGAGGCGAGGAAAATGATTGGAAAGGGGATGGCAAGACCCGAAGAAGACTCAGCAGCGAGAGAAGGGAACGAAGTCGGGCGCGCGCTACTTAAAGGAAGGATCCCGCCAGAACCAGCGCCCCTTCGCCTCCCGAGAGTGGGTGACAGCCCACTCACGTATGCACCTATCCGCCATGTCACGTCAGCGAGGCCAAAGGACGTCCCGCCATAATGAAGGCCTGACGCGGCGACTCAGGGGCAAGCTAAGCAAACGGCAGACCCCTGGCGCCTTGATTTCGACGCCTAAGAGCGTGTTGCAGACGCAAAGAGCTCCCCTCCAATGACACAACAGGGCACAGATGTTCTCGGTCCTCGTCGTTGCTAAATTCGCGTGGAGGGACTACGACGCAAGTAGCTCCTTGGCTCCATGTCGCCCGAGAACACACCTGCGCGGCCAGCTCGCCTGCGTCGTGCTCCTCGGCTTCATGCCCCCCGAGAACACACCTGAGTGGCCAGCCCGCCCGCGTCATGCTCCTCGGCTGCATGTCGCCCGAGAACACACCTGCGCGGCTAGCCCACCTGCGTCGTGCTCCTCGGCTTCATGCCCGCCGAGAACACACCGGAGCGGCCAGCCCACTCGCGTTGTGCTCCTCGGCTGCATGTCGCCCGAGAACACACCTGCGCGGCTAGCCCGCTTGCGTCGTGCTCCTCGGCTTCATGCCCCCCGAGAAAACACCTGAGCGGCCAGCCTGCCTGCATTGTGCTCCTCGGCTTCATGCCCCCCGAGAACACACTTGAGCGGCCAGCCCGCCCGCGTCGTGCTCCTCGGTTGCATGTCGCCCGAGAACACACTTGAGCTTTGCTCCTCGGCCGTACACTACCCAGGGTCACCGCTGCACACCCAGCTCTTCTTAGCTGCTAAACGCCACGACGAACCGGCAAACGCCCGGCTAGGACAGTCTCTCGAAACCGAAGCCACGCCTCGGACCCCCCAGCAACAGCCGACGCATGACTTCCTTCGAGGGGGGGGGGGGGAATATGATGAGGGTAATAAATGACGACATGACTCGGGCTGACGTCAGCTGACCCAGACGAAGCTCACGCCTCGATCAACCCGGTTGGACCTCGTCAAACAAACCAGAACACAGGCCAAGGCCCATTAATGACCTCTCATGCTCGATCCCTCATGCCACGCCAACAACGATGTCAGACGCCATCAGAGGTACGATCCTGCTCCCTACGGGCAGGCACATCAGGTAACACTAAACTTTCCTATAAATACCCTCGCGTTCTAAAGGAGAGGGGAGACACAGAGGAAAACACCGCACCACCCCACATCATTGACTTGATCGTCGGAGGGGTCGGGCCGAGCTTCCGACTCGACCTGTGTGCAGGTACGAAGACGGAGCTGTTTCTTCCCAACGTCGCAGAGTGGAACCCTTCCCCGCAGGACGCCCCCACGAGCTCCTATGTAAGTCGATCCCCGCCATTCGGACCTGAACCGAGCTGCGACGGCCCCGAGGCCATGGCTCAAAAGTTGTTCACACCAACACTCAGTATTCTAAATTTTGTTATATTACGACATTTCCAATGAGTGTATTTAGTGGCAAGTGACAATTAATTTCCAGCTCTCGGATATGAGTTGGTTTAGAACTGACCTAATAATGTAAATTTTATCAATCTCAAATGTTCAATGATGCAAAAATGCATGCATATCATGTATGCGCATTTACTTTAAAGAAATAAGAAGTTGCAAAATGCAAGTTAAATACTGTTGTTAAGCTAGACAGCAAAAGTGCTGCTTTTAGATAGAGCAAAGAGAACTGGGGAAGTCTTAATAAAATAAAACGCATGGAAAAGATAGAACAAGAGATAGCAGAGGCAATAATTGGGTCACTGGCCAGAGAAAACTATAATTATTTGTTAATAGAATCATGCACTAGTCTGACTATTCCTCATGTGAAGCATTATAATTCAAAATATATCTAAGTAGTACTAATCTGACCAGGTTTCCCAAAAGAAGCTCTCTCAACAGCAACTGCTTATTTTGATGAAGTGTTTGGTTCATCAAACCTCTTAGTTTTCTTATAATGTCTACTACATTGTCTTTACAGTCCACACCGGAAAATTTCAACACAAAACCCGAAATGATCCAAAGGACCTGACTCACACTAAGGTACAAGTTGAGTAAACAACTAGAATTTGATGTGATCTCCAAACCCCAAAATAGACCCAAAATCTCAATGTATTTGGTTAGGTATAACCTTACACCTTTATGCCAACATAGCGTGTTCTCTGCTGTCGTGCTGAAAGCAAA